CTTGATTGAGCATTTTTGCTGCACGCCAATTCCATTGATTTGAACTGAAAAGCGTAGAAAATACTAAAGGCGCATTTTTTACATTTAATTTTTTTCTTCATTTTTACTAGTACGAGGAGTGCCTAGGAAAATTCGTAATGCAGCAGATTTACTATTTTTTACATTCAACTCCTCTCTTTGTTCGCTCCCTTAAATAGTGCGCAACGCATACTTTTACTTGTTCTAACACAATTATAATTTTTTTTTTGGTTTTCTGCTAAAATATTCAATTTTGTTTGCTTTGTGCGTCCATACCATTTGCTACTTGTATTTGGAAGTGCGTGTTTTTTTTTTAAGTTTTTTTTTTTATATAAATTTTTCTGTTTATCTTCAAAAGAAGTGTGCTTCCTGCTGTTGGCATTGCAGTGGTTTGCAAATTCTCTTACGGAAAAGTTTACATACAAAAATATTACAAATGGGAAAAACTTTTGTTACAAAGCATGTCTAGCAGCATGTCAGACAAAAAATTGAGTACAATTTTATTTTATTCACTTGAATGGAAAAAATGAAAAATATTAAAAGCTTAACAAATGGACCACTTTTCCAACTAGCCGACTGTCAAAATGGCCAAATCGTAATCCTTTTTTCAAATTTAACAAGCAAACTTATATCAGCCAATTCAGGTTTGCGTTTTGTAGAAAAGAAAGTCTTGCATGAATATTTTATTGTTGAAATACTTTATTTTTATGGTTTTTGTCAAAATTTTTTTTGAAGTACTGTATTGGGAAAAGGAAATTGTGACGAAAATTCCAAGTAGAGAAAGTGGAAGGGGAATTACTACACTCTATTTGATAGCATTAGGTTAGGTAGATTAGGTTAAGGCGGTCTGTAAGACACACATAGGTCGAGGCCACGCAATGAGCGGCTGAGCGGCGCAATACAAAAATGCCGCTCATCCGCTCAGAAATGCCGCTCAGAGCATGGCCATTGTCTACCCAGTGTGGAGGGACTTCGCCTGGATAGAGCAGGGCACTGGCACAAAAAATGCAAAATCGTTTCCTCCTCTTCTTCGTACACCTAGTCAAAAGGCGTGTATACCAATTAGGCAGTGTCCTGTTATAACAGATACTAACAAACTGATATTCTGATTATCTAAGCTCAGTGCGTTTAGCGCTGGGCGCCAGCCATAGTTTCCTGGCAGCTTTACAGGCGATTTCGTCATGGCATCTGTCGTTCGCTACTTTAGTGAGCCTCTCGGAGATAAGAAGTTTGCAAGTTTGTAAGAGTATTCTTATTTCATCGTTTATATCCTTAAAAGGGAGTTTGGTGCAAAGTCGCGCCAGTTCATCGGATTTGCAGTTCCCTTCAATGTCGCAGTGCCCCGAAATCCATATCACTTTTGGGCGAAATGACCTAGCCATCTCGTTAAGAGATGTGAGGCATTTCATGGCTACCATGGAGGTTGTCGACTGCTTCGTAAGGGATTTGATTGCCGCCTGGCTGTCAGTAAAGATGTAGATAACAGCTTGGGATATCATATCACACTTTACCAGTTTTTAGTTTAGAGAGATTCCCAGATATTCGAAGTATACACCCTCACCAACCCTTCCCATGACTTTTGGGCCCTCTGTGTATACATGCTTGGGCTCGCAACTCCTTAGAGCTTCTCGTTTCCATTCTTGCCTTGAGGGTAGGAGGGTC